TGATCAACCAAAATTACAGGCGTTATCCTTGACCATACCTGGACCCTCGTGGAAAATTTCAAAGGGATCAGCCCACTAGTGTGGTAATGGGTCACTAAATAATATATGAATACGTACGCACCTGTAAATATTTAAGTGTAACTCCCCTATCCGGGTACATACGACAATGTAATTGGTCTCAATTTAAAGGTCAACCACTCCTCTTGGATATACTATCAACTTCTCGGTTTATGTCCCTCAGGAGTACATATATACACCATTGATTACAATTTTTGTCATTTTCCACACAAAATTCAGCGTCCATTTGACCCGCTAAATAATAATCGATCTTTATCAAAACCGGCATGCTTATTACTTTGCCCGATCCTCTTCTCCATGTACAAATTCACGATGTTTGGGCCATAATTGCGGCCTCTGGAGCAACCAGAAAGTCAGATAAAAATAAAGTTTTTGTACATTTCATCCCCTACATATTAACCGATCTTTCCCAAAAACAATAGGGGTCTTCATTGGCCAGAACCCATCCTACATGCAAAATTTCGTGAAGATTGGCCCATAACTGTGGTCTGTATCGTGTTAACAAATTATAATGGACCGACGGACGGACACACATGTCTATATCGACTCAACTAGTCGAGATATGACGATCGGGATACTTTAAGGTGGGCCTAGGACCAATATTTCACAGTGTTACAAACTCATGGGGCTGCGCAAAGCTACCCTGACAACATAGTTGTGTACGGTATAATTACAATTACAATTTTGTTATTATAATATTCTTACAATACGAATAATTGTTTGTATAGAAATAGGCTTATAGTTCGTTCACAGTGTACTGGATTTCGTTAACCCAGTGGGTTTCAACTGCCAATTCCATGGAATATATGTCAAATAAATCCTCATAAAGTAGGTTAACCCGGTAAAAATTCTAATTTATATGCCGTTTAATTTGGCTTCTTAATAATGGAATTGGTCGCTGGGTATTGAAGAACTGATCGTTAATGGACTGCTGGTTACCGTTGGCTTGAGGATACTCGGCCAAGTGATGTCGGCTCCTTGCTAATCGGCTAGTTACACTCATCTCGGAGGTACTCGACTAGCTGATGTCGGCTCGTTCGTGATCTGTTAGGGGTTATTAATGGTGAGCTGGCGGGAAGCTAGCTATGAGCTTGCAAAGCGCGGGGAGCTGACAAGGGTGTAGAGCTGGCAAAAAGTGAGGCCGAAACGTTGCTAACATTTACCAGTATTCAAGAGGAGCCATACTTCATCGTCACTCCCAGTTCGTTAACGTCCGAGATCGACCACTTCGGCAAGGAAAAGTGAAATGCAGTCATATGTTTCCAATTTTTTCATAAATTTCCCTTTGACAGTATTCAGCTTTCAAAATTTAAATGAAAATATCTTCCTTCGAAATATACGCATATCATGTGTTCTGTGGCAAAAATTGCTACATAATTTATATTTATGTATAAATGTTTTGAAGTTACCTGCATCTAAAACTTAAAAATGTAAGATGTAACAACCATGGTAAATCTTGAGAGCAATGTTCAGCTTCAGAAAATATATTTTGTTTAATTTATTGAAAATATGTCAATCGAAATATATAAAATTTTAATGAATTTATTTTTCATATTATTTTAAATTGATAGATGAGTTCCAAATTAAAAATGTTTGCTATCAAATTTGCAATCAAATTCTCAAATGAGACTACCTTCTGTAATTATGCCATGGGTACTACGAAGTGAATGAGAATTATTGTGTAGAACAGGAATTGGGTATGGAAATTCTCGTAGAATCCATGAATGTTTGATATTAAAAATGGCATCGGCCCATATTTTGGTCTGGCCCCATATAACTGCACCGCCCACCTATCTATATTTTCCAAAGTTTAGCCGCAGTTTCCGTATATAGGCTTATAAGAAAAAACTTTCTTATATCCGATAATTCCATATACAAAAAAATGCATATAAGAAAGAAATCTCTGGCTTTTTTGAGTTTCTTATATCCGATAACTACTGTATAGACCCAATTACAAGTTTTTGAGGGAGAAAGTCAACATTTCTAGTCATATACTTGAATAAAATAGTAACAGAATTAGATTCACAACACTTTGGGCAATTTCAATCTGGCAACGCCTCATGTCAAATAGTGTGGCCTATAGATCGACTTGAAATAAATTAATTTTTCGGTCCAATTCATCCCAAAGTTTTTATCTGATCATCTGATCAACCAAAATTACAGGCGTTATCCTTGACCATACCTGGACTCTCGTGGAAAATTTCAAAGGGATCAGCCCACTAGTGTGGTAATGGGTCACTAAATAATATATGAATACGTACGCACCTGTAAATATTTAAGTGTAACTCCCCTATCCGGGTACATACGACAATGTAATTGGTCTCAATTTAAAGGTCAACCACTCCTCTTGGATATACTATCAACTTCTCGGTTTATGTCCCTCAGGAGTACATATATACACCATTGATTACAATTTTTGTCATTTTCCACACAAAATTCAGCGTCCATTTGACCCGCTAAATAATAATCGATCTTTATCAAAACCGGCATGCTTATTACTTTGCCCGATCCTCTTCTCCATGTACAAATTCACGATGTTTGGGCCATAATTGCGGCCTCTGGAGCAACCAGAAAGTCAGATAAAAATAAAGTTTTTGTACATTTCATCCCCTACATATTAACCGATCTTTCCCAAAAACAATAGGGGTCTTCATTGGCCAGAACCCATCCTACATGCAAAATTTCGTGAAGATTGGCCCATAACTGTGGTCTGTATCGTGTTAACAAATTATAATGGACCGACGGACGGACACACATGTCTATATCGACTCAACTAGTCGAGATATGACGATCGGGATACTTTAAGGTGGGCCTAGGACCAATATTTCACAGTGTTACAAACTCATGGGGCTGCGCAAAGCTACCCTGACAACATAGTTGTGTACGGTATAATTACAATTACAATTTTGTTATTATAATATTCTTACAATACGAATAATTGTTTGTATAGAAATAGGCTTATAGTTCGTTCACAGTGTACTGGATTTCGTTAACCCAGTGGGTTTCAACTGCCAATTCCATGGAATATATGTCAAATAAATCCTCATAAAGTAGGTTAACCCGGTAAAAATTCTAATTTATATGCCGTTTAATTTGGCTTCTTAATAATGGAATTGGTCGCTGGGTATTGAAGAACTGATCGTTAATGGACGGCTGGTTACCGTTGGCTTGAGGATACTCGGCCAAGTGATGTCGGCTCCTTGCTAATCGGCTAGTTACACTCGTCTCGGAGGTACACGACTAGCTGATGTCGGCTCGTTCGTGATCTGTTAGGGGTTATTAATGGTGAGCTGGCGGGAAGCTAGCTATGAGCTTGCAAAGCGCGGGGAGCTGACAAGGGTGTAGAGCTGGCAAAAAGTGAGGCCGAAACGTTGCTAACATTTACCAGTATTCAAGAGGAGCCATACTTCATCGTCACTCCCAGTTCGTTAACGTCCGAGATCGACCACTTCGGCAAGGAAAAGTGAAATGCAGTCATATGTTTCCAATTTTTTCATAAATTTCCCTTTGACAGTATTCAGCTTTCAAAATTTAAATGAAAATATCTTCCTTCGAAATATACGCATATCATGTGTTCTGTGGCAAAAATTGCTACATAATTTATATTTATGTATAAATGTTTTGAAGTTACCTGCATCTAAAACTTAAAAATGTAAGATGTAACAACCATGGTAAATCTTGAGAGCAATGTTCAGCTTCAGAAAATATATTTTGTTTAATTTATTGAAAATATGTCAATCGAAATATATAAAATTTTAATGAATTTATTTTTCATATTATTTTAAATTGATAGATGAGTTCCAAATTAATAAGGATTGCCATGATCTAATTCTCAAATGAGACTACCTTCTGTAATTATGCCATGGGTACTACGAAGTGAATGAGAATTATTGTGTAGAACAGGAATTGGGTATGGAAATTCTCGTAGAATCCATGAATGTTTGATATTAAAAATGGCATCGGCCCATATTTTGGTCTGGCCCCATATAACTGCACCGCCCACCTATCTATATTTTCCAAAGTTTAGCCGCAGTTTCCGTATATAGGCTTATAAGAAAAAACTTTCTTATATCCGATAATTCCATATACAAAAAAATGCATATAAGAAAGAAATCTCTGGCTTTTTTGAGTTTCTTATATCCGATAACTACTGTATAGACCCAATTACAAGTTTTTGAGGGAGAAAGTCAACATTTCTAGTCATATACTTGAATAAAATAGTAACAGAATTAGATTCACAACACTTTGGGCAATTTCAATCTGGCAACGCCTCATGTCAAATAGTGTAGCCCCCCATATATTCGGTATTTAAGGAATTGTTGTGGAGTTCGGCTTTTCTGAACACGTTTTTACTAATAAAATATGTCTGATATTTTGTATCTAAAAAATTCTAAATATTTGAATTGTTGTCGATATTAACATAACGGTAGTTTGAACTTAGTCCAAAAAGTAGATAACATTTTCACGGAATATGTAATTTGATTGATTTGTATATCCGCAAAAATGCGGAATGAACAAGGCTATCACATGATCAGCACCGCCTGACTTTACTTTCCTACACATTTTCTATTTTATTTGCACGTGCCCTGAAATTTAAATAGGAAATTGATTGGTGCTGGAATTTGGTATTTAATGACTTCCTAATTTTCTTATCTTTCGATATGAAATCCCCAAAAAGGCAGCAAGACTCTAAGCTTTTTTGGAAACATCTGCCGATAATGAAGTTATTGTTATTGACATCATAACATGCTATTATAAATTTCAATGCACTTTAAATATTTTATTTTTTTTAAAACCTACAGATATTGTGTGATATAATATACAATTGTTCCAAATATTTTCATCATTTAATTCCGGATCATTTTTGTTCGAACGGCCTTGGAGAACCTCGAAGAGAAACACGTTTCAAAATTTATCAGACTTTAAGCAGTATCATTGGCGACAGTAGTTGTGGTCGAAGATACGCCAGTGGTCGAAGACACGGGAGAGGTCGAAGAAACGGTAGTGGTCGAAGATGCGTCAGTGGACGAAGATACGCCAGTGGTCGAAGGTACGGGAGCCTCACTGGACGATGATACAGTTGTAGTGGTGATTGGTTCAATGGTGGTGGTGGGTACAGCACTTTGGCCCAAAATGCAGCTATTCAAATTGCTGTAAACAACTGCGGAATCTTTTTCGTATTTAACCTCAGCTTGAGTATTGCAGACATCTAATTCGCTCTTGATTTCAGTAATTAGCTCAACAAAATCGGACAATTGCATGGTGGCATTGGCAGAGAGGCTATAGAAAATCTTGGATTCATCAGTTCCCTGATAAATAGAGAGGAATTTAAAATTATAATTGATTTGCTTTTCTTTGTCGAGGTTATATTCATCATACCTGATTAATGTAACATTGGAAAATATCTTCAACGGTACCAGCTTGGGGACATTGAACGAGAGCAGCACAGGACGAATTTACAGCAGTGGCAAAGGTATTACGGATGTCCAGAGTAGCGGCTTCAGCATTCGCTTCGGCTTGGGTGGCAACATTGCTGCAATCGGCCAATTCAGCGGCATAGGTTTGAGCGATTTCATTAATAAGTGGAACATAGTAGCTGAAACAGGCCATCGATTGTTCGGGATTGGCTTCAATGTTGCTTGTGGAACTGGTCATGAAATCCAAGAAATTCAAATTAGCCGGTAACTTGTTAAGGACCTGGGTATTGGCCATGGCCATAGCCAGGCAAACACTGATGAAAACAATGGAACTTGTGAAACGCATGTTGCCCGAATTTAAATTTTTAATGTTCGTTTTTTACTATTTCAATATTGTCGAGTAACTGCTGGGAATAGTGCCAGCCGTAAGGTTTTTATACCAATTTGGCAAATTAGTTCTGCCATTTTTGTACATAATTATGTCGTCATGAATTGGAATGTTTTTCCACTTTCCCTATCTTCTGCAGAGACTGTCATAAGTCCATTCTAGGGTAATTGATTATATTTTTTTGTTCAGCAACCCCAATTACTCCCCCTCGCAAAATTAATAACTTATTTTCAAATGAAATGTATTTTTAATTTTCTTGGAAACATGAAATATTTGGTTTTTGTCCGCCTTCTCTCACAAATCAAATATTTACCATTGGTTTTCAAGACATTTGAAAAAAATTGCAAAACTATCCATCATAATTAGATTTTAATGCTGTCATACGTTAAATGCGATATAAAAATATGCGCGTAATGGGCGGGGAATCCCATACAATCGGTACTCTTTACAAATGTACAGATTGAAGAAGCGATTTATGAAAATTGAATTTTAAATTCGAAGCTGTTCTTTATTAAATGTCCTCCCGTATTCAATTTACTTAGTCTGCCTGCTGGAAAACTTTGAAGCAGTAAATCTTTCGTCCATGTTATATCTTTCAATTTTTTTTCATAAATTTCCTAAAATAAATAAATAAATATTTTAAATTTATAAATATTTGTAAGTTCCCTGCCACTAAAACTTATAAATATAAGTTGTAACAACCGTGGTTAAATCTTTAGAGAAAAAATTCTGGTTTAAAAAATATTTTTTGTTTAATTTATTGCAAATATGTCAATCGACATACATAACATTTTATAGAATTTATTTTTCATATTATTTAAAATTGATAGATGAGTTCCAAATTAAACTCTCATCAAACTCTTAAATAAGACTGCCTTCTATAATTATGCCATGATAACAAATATAAGTTTCTGACCTAATGGAAATCAATTTCTATAAAAATTACGAAAATATTGTCACAGAAATTATTGTTCAGTTCCAGTACCTTTTTAATAGTAAAAAAGTAGTAAGTAACTAGTAGTTCAAAACCGCTCTCAGAGTACAAAATAAGTTGAATAAGTGAAAAAGCGTTAAGTTCGGCCGAGACGAACTTTGGATACCCTCCACCATAGATATACTGGCAGGTACTTGAAATGAAAATATAGGGAACATACCAAAAATGGACCTATACCGACATTTCTACAAACCGATTATGTAAACAATAATTTTTAATAGAAAATTATACCCTCAGCCTTTTGGCTAATTAGTGTGTATGCCCTTTCACACGGTGAAAATGTGCCTCATCGAAATATTGGAACCAAAACGCGGAAAAATCAGATAATTATATTAATATAAGAAATGGGGTTATATGGGGACTACGCCATAAAGGGGTTGACTATTAATAATTTTTGGTAGGGAGATTTGTTCCCATATACGGCTACAAAATACCAAATTTCAGTGATTTTGGTTGAAAAACACGCTCAAGAACCTCAAAATGCCGACGTTTGGGGGTACCTTTATATGGGGCTAACAGAAAAAATGGACTTATATTTATAATTTTTAGTGGAGATATTTGGTAACCAATAAGAACCCAATATACCAAATTTCAGCGAATTCCGTTTAAAAACCCTCTGGCTAATGTGTATACACTTTCACACGGTGAAAATGTGCCTCATCGAAATATTGGTTCTAGACCCCATGTTTCTTTGGACCAAATCCGTTTCAGAAAAATTTGATTTCATCCCATCTTATTATGTCTTCCAAACTTAGTTCCCACACAGGGGCTACGGCTAAGCCTAAATGCGGGCTATAGTTCATTATCGAACCGAACGTTCTAGTTTTTTTATCTCGATAACCTTCGCAGGTGAAATGATTACAACAGAGTGTTAGAACCAAACCCAAACCGCGGAAAAATCAGATAAGTATATTAGTATAAAAAAATGGGGTTATATGGGGACTACGTCTAAAAAGGGGTTGGCTATTAATAATTTTTGGTAGGGAGATTTGTTTCCATATACGGCTACAACATACCAAATTTCAGTGATTTCGGTTGAAAAACGCGCTCAAGAACCTAAAAATGCCGAAATTTGGGGGTACCATTATATGGGGGCTACCAGAAAAAATGGACTTATATTTATAATTTTTAGTGAAAATTAGGACGTACCGTTATATTGGGGCTATCAAAAAAAGTGGACCTATATTTATAATTTTTTGTGGAAACATTTAGTACCCAATAAGAACCCAAAGTACCAAATTTCAGCGAATTCAGTTAAAAAACGCGCTCCAGAACCCCAAAATACCGAAAATTGAGGGGCACCCTTATATGGGAACTATGCCTAAACGTGGACCGATATATCGAACTTGACCTGCCTGCAGACAAAAGACAATCCTACGCAAAATTTCAGCACCCTATCTCAATTCCTTCGGAAGATAGCGTGATTACAACAGACGGACATGGCTAGATCGTCATAGAATTTTACCCTGATCAAGAATATATATACTTTATAGTATCGGAAATGAATATTTCGGTGAGTTACAAACCGAATGACAAAATTAATATACCCTCCATACTATGGTGGAGGGTATAAAAATCCGGGAACGCAAATCTAGTAAATATGCCAAAATTAGATGGCAATACTACAAAATAAGAGCCAATTTGAAGTTGGCATTTTTACTCGTACAAATTTTTCGAGTAAAAAGTTTACAAAGAGAACGACATTTTGTTTTATATTCTCTTAAATTTTGTTCAATGTTTTACCAGTTATGTGAGTTCACCAGCGGGTTTCGAGTAAAAAGTAGCAAAACTTGTGAAATTAGTAGATTCTTTTAGGTTCTGGGGAGATTATGCTAAATCGAGATAAATTCAAATCCAACCCTGCTTTTGTACTAAAAAGATAATGACTTAAGGGACGTTTAGATTTACGAAATCCACTCGATCTCAAATGCCAATTCCATTGCTTACACGTCAAATATAATCCACTGGATTTGTGAGCAGGATTAACGTGACGTTTACGCAATTGAATTGACATTTGAGATCGAGTGGATTTAGTAGTCTAAACGTAGCCCTATCCTTAAAGTATGCTACAAAATATGTTACAATTCAAAATCCACATGGCACAATAAATAGGTAGCCCATTTAGCGCAGCTGATGTCCCGATGAACTGTCAAAGTGCATAATTTCTACTTGTATTCGATGTGCAATGTTGCCAACCATTTGAAATTCTATAAGGAAAATGTTGACAGATGGTCGAGACAAAAACAAATGTTTTTGTTGTGATGCATCATCTTATTATTGCATCATGGTTGCCCATTAAAATATTTAAAACAAATTTTTTATGAATTTTTGACCCAATGGGAATTATAAAAAATATTGGTTGAAAAATTGCCACAGAAATTGTGGAGCCTGTGTAATTGTATTTTATTAAAGCTAGGATTTGGTAACTCGATTAACAAATCGAGTCGTTTTTGTCTAAACGCGCCCCTAAGACTATGTATCTCGATTTTGAAATCAAGTCAATTTTGAAGGCATAGTGTAGTGAGAACGTAAACAAAAAAGTGGACAGTTTGAGGAGGTTTCTACTAAAATGGCCGATATTATTCCCTTTCTTACACGACCTGTTTATTGGGACATGGTGTGTATATTTTGGTATGTTCCCGTACTGCAATAATCTACTACTTTTTACTACGATAAAAATTTTTCCATTATGATATCGAACAAAGTAGTTAAAACTAGTAGATTCTTGATAAATCGACAAAGTTTCAAGTACAACTCCACTTTTGCACAAAAAATGATAGCTTCTCCCCATGGCATAAATACAGAAGGTAGTCTCATTTGAGAATTTTATGATGGCATCTCTTTTTAATTTGGAACTCATCTATCAATTTTAAATAATATATTAATTTTTAATAATAATAAAAAATTCCATAAAATTTTATGTATGTCGATTGACATGTTTTCAATAAATTACATTTTACATGTTTTGCAACTTTTTACTAGAAAAACGTTACGCAACCCGCAAAACTGGTAAAACATTGAATCAAATTTAAGACAGCACAAAAAAATGGCGTTTTTTTTTTTTTTTAAAATTTTTAATCGAGAAATTTTGCCGAGTAAAAATGGTAAACAGGAATGCCTAACTCTCATTGGCTGTTATGTTGATTTTGAAGTATTGCCATCTAATTTTGGCATATTTACTAGATTTGCGTTCCCGTACTTTTCAAATTATTTTGTACTCTGAGAGCAATTTTGAAATGCTTCCCTTTTACTAGTACTGGAACAGACCATATATTTTCTAAAGCTGAACATTGCCCTCAACATTTAAGCATGGTTGTTACATCTTATATTTATAAGTTTTAAAGGCAGGGAACTTCAAAATATTTATAAATATAAATTATTTAACAATATTTGCGACTGAACACATTATATGCGTGCGAAGGAGGATATTTTCATTTAAATTTTGAAAGCTGAATACTGTCAAAAACAAATTTATGAAAAAATTGGAAACATATCACTGCATGAGACTACATTTTTGTTTATAAAAAATCATGGCATAATTATACAAGGTAGTCTCACTTAGTCATATGTTTCCAATTTTTCTCATAAATTTGCCAGAAAGTATTCAGTTTTCAAAATTCAAATGAAAATATCTTCCTTGGTTCTTTACAAACATTTTGTACTTAACTTCATTTCTTCGAGTTATTTTCTATCAGAAATTTGTTTTCATTTGCCAAACAAACAAAAATACATACAGAAATAGAGCGGCCCTAAACTAAAAAATTACATATGAGTTGTCATATCGTTTTAACAGATGCAATTTTTCGTGTGGGCCACACGACATGTACGGTATTAACATATGTAAAATTTGACGGTGCATATGTCATGATGGCTCGTGCATCAAAGCCATTAGTAAACATAGATATGGAAATGACATACAGTTTAATTACTCATATAAAAAAATATAAATAATTTCTGAACAAATTACATGGCTCGTGTGAAAAAATTCCAGTGTCATAGTTATGTATCGTATTATCGGTATTTAAAAATAAATTCATACAAAAATTGAAAAGCAAAAATTCACTATTTCTATCAATCAAAAAATGAAATAAAAATATGTGTGATGATAATGATTGTAAAACTTATCAAAATCGGCATTACGAATAATGTTACTTTGTCTGTCTTGTTTACACAATATTCGGGCGTTCACATGTTTGTCGCACAGATAAAACCGCAACAGTTATTTCTAATGTTACGTTCCGACACCAAATATTTCATTGATAAGAAAATAGTTAAACGTGATTCACTTGTTTAATTGTTTTTCTTATCTTAATATTTGACTTTAAACATTGAGTTCGCTATAGCTGCTGACTATAGTTTCGACTATTTTTGACTGTTAATCGAAATTGGTCAACACAAATAAGAGAGATGTGTGAGATTTCTGTGTAGAATAAATTTTGGTAGTAATGAAAATTAAAAACCAAATTACAGATTCGGGTTGAAATATAAAATTTTCTTATTTTTCTTATTGTCAAAAAATATTGTTTTTTATTTTATTTCTTCCTTAGTTAAGTACGTACTGTTGATGGCAATAAAAAACTTCACACACTTTAAACATTTTCAAAAGGTCGAAAACCGAAAAGTAAATTATGTGGAGCTTTGGTATTTATAAAGTTCATATTCGACCCTGACTTCAAACACAGATTTAATGGTCTATGTTTGCTTGGAAGCATGTATGAATAAAACAAATGGTCTGTTCCAGTACTTTTTTAATAGAAAAGCTAGTAAACAGGAATGCCCATAAAAACATTGGTAAAACATTGAATCAAATTTAAGAGAGTACAAAACAAAATGGTGTTCTCTTTGTAAACTTTTTACTCGAGAAATTTGGCCGAGTATAAATGGTAAACAGGAATGTCTATTTTTGATTGGCTGTTATGTTGATTTTGAGTATAAATGGTAAACAGGAATGTCTATTTTTGATTGGCTGTTATGTTGATTTTGAAGTATTGCCATCTAATTTTGACATAATTATTACATTTGCGTTAATGAACTTTTCAAATTAGCTCTGTCTGTTTACTCGATATTTGGTAACAATTGTTACCAAATGTTACTAAATGTTGTCTGTTTGCCCAAAAATCCAGTAAAAGAAAGTCAAGTGAGAGAGCAAGTTTGGCAGTTCAACAACAACAAACTTACTGGAGTTTACTGAAAGAATTTTATGCAGTAAGATTTTGCAAATTACAGAAAATGGAAGAAAATTCGTAAATAATGCAAAGTTTCATTAAATTAGAAAGTCCGCTTTTCCACAGGCAGATTTTTATTTGGCAAATTTTTTGTTTTCTCTTTTGAAATTTTCGCTTGCTTTTCCATTATCAAATTTTTCTTTGCCAAATTTGCGAATCAAAATACAAAAGAAAGAAAAAAAAACATCAAAAGTGTATGCATTTTAAAGATTTTTTTTAACATTTTATTTATTTTTTATATATTTTATTATATAAATTGCAAAAATTAAAAAATTGAATTTTACTTGCACAAATTAAAGCAACAGGTTTGTAAACAAAAGCCGCCTATGTGTCAGTAAAGCGAATAGGTTCAAAAGGAAATGTCAACAAATTTGTTTTCAACGAACAGAGCAAAGCAGAATATCCGTGTACGGCAAATTCTGAACAGGCAAATTTTTGTTTTTCTTCCTCGCACCCCTCTCGCCTACAAACTTAGTATTTGCCAAATAAAAATTTGCCTGTGGAAAAGCAGACAAACTAATTCCGTATATATTTTTAGGCAAGTTCCAGATAGAGGGCAATGTATTGATGCAGGAAGCTTAAATTTTCCCTGGGAACATACCAAATCAATTTTTCGTTTATTATTCATTTTATTTTTAATATTAAATGTAATACAATTAATTATGTTCGTCCTTTGTTTGTTGTTTATTTTGGCGCAAATCAAATGTTTTCTTGAATCAGCTGTTTATTTGCTAAATCTTACTAAATGTTGTCTGTTTACTTTTCTCAGTACTATCGCAAAAGAGAGTAAAAGCGGCTTACTCTCTGAACTAGAACTTAATGAATAAATGTTACTGGAAAAGTAACCAGACACCCCTATTGTTTTTTACTCTGAGAGTGATTTTGAAATATTTCCCTTTTACTATTAAAAAAGTACTGGAACAGATCAATTGTAATATATTTCAATATTTTCAAATATGCCATTTGTCGTACGTAACTAGTTACGGTTTCAAATACAAATATTATTTGAAAATGACAAAATCACAGCCTTACCTAAGGGTCGTACCTAAATTCATGCGTATGCGAACGAATTTATTCACCTCAAAAGTTAAATACATGTATTTCAATGAATGTTACCCAAATACGCATTGCGTATAAAAATATAAAGTTAAAAATTTTCAACTCTGACAATGCGTATATTGAAATTTTTGTTTTTTGAAAATAGAATTCTAGTCATTGAAAAATTTGTTTTTCTATAAATGTAAACTTTTTTCGATCAATTAAAAAATGTTTTCGTCTATTTTCGCCGTTTTTAATTGGCACAGATGCAAATAGAGTCCTTGCGTATTTGGGTAATACGGACGTCTGACAAACCTTATAAAGGTGAGAAGGTGAGTATTTTTGTACGGAGCGCAATAAATTAGATACGACCCTAAAATTCAACTAGCTCGTCCGACGTTATATGAATGTTACCGAATTACGTCGAACGTACAAAATTTCTAGTTGAACAATTTCAACTTTGACAGAACGTATTTTTCATTTTTTTTCCTTTGATGAAAACAAAAACAGAACATTCTGGAAATTTGAAATTTCGAATCGAAACTAAAAATACCTGGATTAATTTAATAAATTTTAAATTTTGTTTTGTGGTTTGCATTATTTGCTTGAAGATATGGATTCGACGTATTTGGGTAAAAAGGCCGTACACAACATTTTGCCATAGTGGGGAAGTTGAATATTTTTGTACGCCCCGTCGGATTTTAGGTAACTTTGTCAAGTACAGATTTGCTGGTGTTACCATCTTCAATTTAGCAAATGAGACTACCTTTAATAATTATGCTTTGTGTGGATTTATTTTTTAGTTCAATTAAGAACGCCAATTGTATTGCTTCGTAGACAACACTGTTTGTTTAACAACCACTACCAATGTGGCAACTACAAATGCCAGCTGTGTGGTGCAAACGTCATCTTTTCATCTCAACAGTCATAGCTGGCTGTCAGAAAACGTCAAATTCTTGTAAATCTTTTTGGCCGTAGTTCGAGTTTTACATTAAATTTTATGTTTTTCTTTGGCATTTGTTTTACGATCCGAGATTATAGGAAACTTCTATAAAAAGCTGTGGCATTACATTAACGAAATAGAAAAAAGAACTCCAATAGCCGGTAAACATAAATGCGAACAATTTGCTAGCAACGGCCATTTGGGATTACGGAAAGAGAAAAACTCAACAAACTTCGAACGACAAGAAAAAAAAGGGTGTTGTTGTGCAGTAGAGTCTAAAAGTCAATACCAGTGAATTGGAGATAAGCCCCAAATATAAACACCAGCAGCCACCATCTGGTCTTATCTAACTCCATTTATTACCCTTAAAAATTGTTTTATTTGTAATTAACAAAAAAAGCAAAACAAATTAACATCATGGATCCCGGTTGGATACTTCACGATGATATGAATTTGTAAGTAAAATATTTGTGACACTGCAACATTTTGGAATTGATTTTTTCGCTTTATGGCTTGATGCCTATGATTTTTTAGTTCAGCTCACAAAATGTGTGTGTTTTGTTGTGGTCTGTCATCATTGCCTTGATATGTGCTGCCTTGTGTTAAAGCCCATACGTATCCATCAAGTACAATACTTGACCCACTAATATTTAGTGGCTTGAATTTATTTGTTGGATTTTGTGGCATGACAATGTTGGTGACCACTTGTGTCTAATGTTCATTTTGTTGCTATTGTTTTTCATATTTTCTTGTACAATATGTATGATTGTGTATTTGTTGTCTTTCATTTTCAGATACATTACACCCGAACAATTTATTGTGGAACCAAATGGAAAAACTGAACTGTTAATAATCGATCGTACTTCAAGTATGGTAAAAGTGCAATGTAAGTTCTATCCGGCAAATGTTTGTTGTCTCGTTTGTCATAGTTTTCTATTTTTAAATTCTTTGAATATTTTGATGCTACTGTCGAATATTCACAAGGCTGCTTGTTGACAGTAGAAACGTCAGCAAACATTGTTGTACCCGCATTATTGTTGCCGTCGATTGATAAGGTTTCATCTTTTAATGTTGATATTGCTTTTAGTTTTCAATAATACATGAATAGTTCTGGCAGAAACATGGGCTTGTACTTGTCGCTATCGGAGTAAATTCAATTTATTTCACCGTTCTGTTGTCGGTATGTGTAATGTTTATCAGAATTGGTGGAAAGTCTAAAAGCCAGATAATATCTCCACTATTTTAATAACTTCCACCGTTTGTAACACAGTTCGCAATATTTAAAATAGAGTATCGACATGTTTCACGTTATTCTACTGCTATTATGTTCGCTATTGCAAATGGGATATGTTTTTGGTATGGCATTGTTATTACTCCTAGGATGTTTGGTACTGAAAATTGGTCCATGGCTTGGTATAGTCCCCATATAAAGGTACCTCCCATATTTTGGGGAGCTTGTGTACGTTTTTCAATCAAAATTGCTATAATATCGTATTTTGTGTCATTGGGTAGCAATGCTTCCTGATCAATATTGTTCAACTTTTTACGATATCCCCCATATAACGATTCCTCCCAAATTTCCATATTTTGGGGATAATTTAGTTTTCGAATTTTTATTGGAAAGGAGACCTTCCTATCGAAAAATATTATATCGCCTTCAAAATCCACAACTACCCCATTCACCTACTGGGCGCGTGAACTAAGACTAGATCTAGACATGAGAGTTGATTACTGAACAATTCTGAATTTCCAACACCCCATGATCCTGGGTGTTGTGTTCGATATCCTATTAAATTTCATCAAACATGCAGCGTACATTAAAGGGAAAATCCAGACAACAAATAAGGTTCTGAAAGCGCTGACAGGAACCTCTTGGGGAAAAGTCTAGACTGCCCCAGTCTGGACTTCCTTCTTTAGCGACAACCAATGGCGTAATCTCCAAAATGTGCGGAATAGTGCCTTAAGGATTTTTACCGTATGTGTTTTGATGTCGAGCGTGGATTATTTTCATACGGAGGCGAGGATACGGCTTATGTTGAGTTTGGGGCTCATCTCCGATTTTTCTGATTTTTACCACATGTAGATATCGTCTCCCTGATCACGAAAATATATGACATTAATGGGGAAACGCATATTTCGCGAGATATGAACCTCTGAATTTCCGGGATTCAGAAAAATCCGAGATGAGCCCCTAAATTCAACTTGTTTCAACAGATTGTCAATTGCGGCAGGTCTGAAGCTGCTGCATACCCAGACGATCCAAGAAACCGTTCCCAGTACCTTCTTGGCATGGATACTTACTTAGCTGGCTTGTTTCAGAAGGTTGTTCCATAAGCCGAGCTTAAAAAATTTTCTCTCAAACACCCCAAGAGCTGCCTCATCTGCTTGCGCGAGTACCCATGCTTCAGATCCATATCTATGTAATCAGTTTAGAAACAAGACCACCTCCCTCCAGACCAAACTCACACTTTACAAAACGCTGATACTACCCGTGCACGGATAGTAGCGGAAATCGAAGATCAATGTTGAAACTGCTTCCAGTCTCCGCACAATACGACACACATATTCGCTGTCCAAATAACCCTACAGATTAACGCCCTGTGGACCTTTGGAAAAGACCAGTGGAAGTGACCCAATTTCTGTAAATACCAACAGATTATATCCTCAAATAATCTAAATATATAACACACCATAAAATAAACTATTCATCCAACCACATCCATAGAACCACACACATCCAATAACCCAATATCCCAATACCATTGTAGGCAGGGATTGGATATTTCAATTTAATATATACATTTTACTGGATTATATTCAATTTATTGTTGTTCTCACAAAATTTAAAATTGTTATTTTAAAAATCGATATTTTTACTTACTTTTTCCAGCCCTAACAAATCAATTGGCAAATCTTTCACCAAAACGACGAGTGTGCGGTATACTCGGTACAATACACTTGATCGGAGGGGATTACTTAGTTGTGGCAACACATCGTCTATATGTCGGTATGATCGATGGTGGAGTAATATGGCGTTTAGCTGGCTACGACATAATTCCGTACATTCCAAAAACTACGCATTTAACACCAAAACAACGAGAACATAACGAAACCTATTTGCAAATGTTACGAAAAACTTTAGATACGAATTATTTCTATTTCTCGTATGCGTTCGATATAACGCATTCACAACAACGCTTGCACACCATGGCCGTTGAGGAGAGACAACAAAGTCTGTTCGAACGGGCCGATAAACGTTTTGTGTGGAACGGTGCGCTGTTGAATAATTTCCAGTGCAATGAAATGCGTAATTTCCAATTGCCATTGATATTGGGATGTAAGTACTTGTAATGTAAAATAAATTATATTTTATTAATTATGTTTTTTTTTAATTTCAGTTGTTTCCATTAACCAGGTGCAAATTAATGGTCAAACTTTCTTTTGGTCCATTGTTTCGAGGCGTTCGATACACAAAGCCGGTACACGTTTCTATAGCCGTGGTATTAATGAACATGGTCAAGTGGCAAATTATGTGGAAACTGAACAAATTGTGGAATATAATGGACAGATCATTGCCTTTGTTCAGGTAATTTTGTAAATATTCGAATGAAGATTCAGACTGCCAAATATTGGATTAGACGAAGCGCTTTTTCTTTCTAAGATATGAAAAAAGTTGGAGATGATTTGAAACAAAAAGCCATTTCTTGTCTCCCAATGTTTTCATTAATTGAAGTAGTGTTTGATAAAATATCTCGTATAGACTCTTTTCAATATTATTATTTTATTGAGCCCATATATTCTTTCTTTTCAGACACGTGGCAGTATGCCCTTCTTCTGGCGGCAATTGCCCAATATTCGTTACAAACCTCGTCCAGTTTTAGTGCCTGGAGAAGATCACTTAGGTGCCTGTGAAAGACATTTTGAGGAACAAATTTCAAAATATGGCCGACAAGTTTTAGTTAATTTGGTAAGTCCTCAATATTTCCCTTGGATTGGTAAAGCTTTTTAATAACTTTTTTTCTTTTCTACAGGTTGACCAAAAAGCTGCAGAAGGCGCCCTTGAAAATGCCTATCGCACATTTGTCCAACAGCTGGACAATTCCAATATACGCTATGAAGCATTCGATTTTCATGCAGAATGCAAGAAAATGCGATGGGATCGCTTGAATATTCTAATAGATCGTCTGGCTCATGAACAAGATGTTTTCTCAGTGTTCCATGCGAGCGATGATAAACATGTGCTGTCCCTGCAACAGGGTGTCTTCCGTACAAATTGTATTGATTGTTTAGATCGTACAAATGTTGTCCAGAGTATGTTGGCACGCCGTTCGCTGTGTGGTATTCTCGAGAAATTGGGAATATTACGTGTTGGCCAGAAAATTGAGTCGGCATCACCAGCATTTGAAGTTATATTCAAGGGTGTGTGGGCCGATAATGCGGATATGATTTCGTTGCAATACTCTGGAACGGGAGCATTAAAGACCGATTTTACACGTACCGGTAAACGAACAAAAGCTGGCCTTGTTCAAGATGGTGTCAATTCAATGACACGTTATTATTTGAATAATTTTGCTGATGGTTTTCGGCAGGTGAGTAATGAGGATATTTAATAATATATTTGAGGGACAGGGAGCTAATGTGGAGCATTAAGTGATTTGAAATAATTATTTTGAAGAGGTATTGCACAAGAAGGGGGGGAATACCTTAAGGTCTTTGACTTAAGACGGTCTAAAATGCCTGGAAATTTTGGCCAATATCCTTGTATGTAGTGGTTAAATGCCGGGAATGTATTAACAACTGAAAGGATCCGTTTCCACGACATAGCAGTCTACGATCCGAAACTATCCGAATCTTAATCGGCCAACGTCTGTCACCTAAGGCCATAGTGTAAAAGCAATAGCGCTGCTACAACAATAACACCTGAAAAGATAGGATTATGGTCATTCGGCTTAGTTTGGCAGGATGAATAAGCGCTAGTCACTGACATATATGGAACCATCATGAAATAGTTTTAAATATTTTCGTTCTATCTCTCTTTAGCTATAACTAATTATTATACCTTGGCTATAAGGACCAATTCATAATATTATTAAATTCAAGTGGCTGCATTTATTCTTAAACCCAGTTTTTTAAACAGCTTTTTCCTATGCACTTTTCATTCAACTCTAATAAAATTTGTTTTTTCACTTTCTTTCAGGATGGAATTGATTTATTCTTGGGACGTTATGTTGTCAACGAATCTTTACCCTCACCATTAGAAGTGAAGCACTCATGGCGCTATACAGCTGTAAGTATTCTCTACAATATTCATGCAATATGTGTAACAATATTAAATTGATTTTTTTCTTTTTTACTTTCAGTTCCCTGTCATTTTGATATTCTCCATGGCTATGTTATTCCTTACCGCATTAGTTCCACCAGAATTCAATACTGAAAATCTACTATTTATGCTATTCTGGGGTGCCTTAATCGGTGTCAGTATTAGTGGTATCTTCCACTATAATCTAGAGTTTGTCGATTGGCCGAGGCTTTTTCCGCCCATTAGATTTCAAGTCTAACAGTAGATTTAGAATTGGCCGTGCTGATAATGGTGGTTCGCATGATATATTTCGTGTATAGGAAAAAATTGAAATTCAAATTGCTTATATCAGCGTCGTCGTGTTCATTATTATTTTTCGTTTTGTAAGATTTATTCCTTATGTCAAAAAAAAAGAGACAATGACGGTATAAATTCTTTCAATTATGTTTTTCTGATGATTTATCCAACACGCCCAAATGATGCTGTTTATATAGTCTAAAGAAGACAAAGCTTTTCCCAAATTTACTATAATACATAATTCACACACACACAACTCTTATATATTTTTATATAATTTGTAAATGTTTGTTTATTTTTTTTTTCAACTATACGCTGTTCTTCCTAATGTTAATCTATGAGTAATGTCTCTTATAATCATCATATTTATAATGTGAATATTCCCTTTCCCATTACTTTGTGTCACATATAGTTTACTAAATCTCTACAAATCGGTGTATTTCTTTTTCTTTCTAGTTTATTATATAAAAAAATAATTTAATTTTTTTCTATCGTAATTATTTTAATTATACACCCTAGTACTAAAGTTATTGTAGACTAGCGAGCTTTAATTTCATTTGAAATTTAGACAATTGTTATGCTTGCACAACCAGTCGTACCAACTGGTGGTCTACGAGAGCTTTTCTCTCAGAAAATAATACTAAGCACTGGCGTAGAAAATATAATTAATAATAATTAAAAAACAAGTTATATTTGAATAAATAATGAAATTCTTCATACATAAACCCATTCCTTTTATTTAATGTTAAAAATTAGTGTAATTTTGTAATAAAAAACTATTAAGGAAAGTAGCAAAGTCGGGCTGGGTCGGTACTTTGGGTATATTCTACATATGTATCCTAACCATTTCATGTCAATGTTCCTTCGAGGGAAATTGAAAGAATTTTAATATGTGACCTTTTGTCTATACATTTATGTAAATTGATTTATAGGACCCTTGATACACGCTATACGGTATTCCGCACTGATCACAATTTAATCTCAATCAGACACTCGTTCGAAATATGAATGGAAGCTTTGTCTCCATCTGCACCAATTAAAAAAAACGTCATTCTAGTCTCAATTTTATTCATTGTTCAACATTTCGTGTCAATCGGACAAGCATTAGGAGTTTGGTGCACAATTTACCTAAAATCGGACGAAAATATATATGTATATGTGGGAGCTATATCTAAATTTGAACCGATTTCAACGAAACTTGCTAGAAATAAATTTATATTAACTTCAGTACATTTTACAAAATTGTGTATCAGTCGTACAAACCTTGGGGCTACAATAATATGGGAGCTATATCTAAATCTGAACCGAAACTTAGCACACAATATTCTAGACTCATTTTAGTACACTATGTCAAATTTCGTGCAAATCAAAAGATATGTAGGGGCTTTTACATAAAATCAGACGAAAATATACATATGGGAACTATATCTAAAACTGAACCGATTTTCACAAAACTTAACACACATCCTTCCAGACTTAGTTCAGTACGCTAAGCTAAATTTCGTATCAATCGAAAGAAATATAAGTGACCATTTCCATAAAATCGGACTAAAATATATATGGAAGCTATATCTAAATCAGAACCGATTTTCACGAAACTTAGCACTCATTATGCTAGACTTAATTCAGTACGCTATGCCAAATTTCGTGCCAATCGAAAGGCATATAGGGGCTTTGGTGCACCATTTACATAAAATCAATAGAGTTAGTAATTGGGCCAAATAAATGAGCTGTGCCGATTTTCATCCAAATCGGATCATAAATGCGACCTGTTGTTTGTTTACAATTTAACATGGACAGACAGACGGACGTGCGGACATGCATAAATCGACTCAGAAATTGATTTGATTCTATGCTTATTCTCAAAAGGAACCATGGGTCTCGATTCCTTTTGCCTGTTACACACTTATGGACAAAGACATAATACCCTGTACCATAATGTGGTGAAGGCTATTAAAATAAGCATGGCAATAGATAGCGCCACCATGAGGAAAATGGCAATACTACTGCGTTGTTTCTAGATAACGATAGATGACATTCCGAACCACCTTGGGCAGACCAATTTGGCAGAGTAGTAACAAGGGAAACAAAAAAGTAGGCCTTTTGGTATTCTATAAGAAAACCTTTTACACAGACATTCCTAGACAGACTGTTTTGGTTGTATGCCATAAAACGGCCCGTCCGATTTTAGATATTTTGGATTTTTAGATGCATTTCCTAACGGTAGTGACTGTAATTTTGTATTTTGGATATTGTCTTATTGAATCATTGAAAACAATTATCAATATGGTTCCATATATTGACCTAACCTAGCCCTCATATAATGTGCCATATGAAGTGGACTTAATCTAGGTTTAGTGAAAACATTACGGAATGTTTGGATGAAATTGGAAATTCCGTTCACTTCAAATTTCCCATGTGTTGACTTTTTGTGGCCCCAATTCAAAACATTGCAAATGATTGGTTATCGTACTCATTAGCCAGGCGGACGTTAGAATTACTGCAATTATTTCGCCTTTGTCAAAGAAAAACTGTAAAATGTACCGAATTTTCTCTTTGTTCACTTCCATTTTCAACACCCTGTAACTCACAACTGAATGATAAAACAAAAAACATCAAATAATTGTTTACTGCGAAATGTCACCTTTCCAACGAGCATAAATCTGAAATTGTTTGATCGATACTTTACGAGAAATCTGTCAGTACAGCCATCTGGTGAAAAATAATGGATTTCTTTTCCCCAACCTAATATTTCTAGAAACCAATTTCTTGGTCCCCGGGCAGCTAAATTTCTTACCGTTACCCAACCTTTGTCCGATCTCTTAAAACAACTTTATATTCGATTTTTAAATCGACAAACTTTATTTCATTTATAACAAATATATATCGCAACAACTAAAACGTGACTTTCTATCTTTTTTTTTTTAAAATAACTAAAATATTTATCTACAGGGAACGCGTTAGACGCATTAAACCATAGGGATTTTTATTGCTTAAATATTTCAGCTGTTCTTCAAACCCTTCTGGGGTCTTTTGTATCCAATGACGATCCAAATAGTATTGTATACAACTATGGAATTCCTTGTCGGTATAATTATCCACATGTACGGGAACAAATGGATCTAAATGTTCAAAACCTTGTGTACCCAATAGATAACGTGGCATATATGAATCCATATAACCTTCGGTCATGGCGATCTTATCCACAGTCAATACACATACACCATTTGTCCAGTCGTAATTGGTAATGTCCAAGAAGGGTTTAGTGAGGGTTATACGATCGGGGGTAACCTTTTGTTTGTTATCGGTTAAGATACGTGTTTCCGGATGGAAGAACGCATTAAAACCATCAATGGCCACCATTGTTTTACATCTACCGGCAGTCGAGTGTTGTTTGATTTCATTTAGCAAAGCGGCAATAGTTTCGGAAGCAAATTTAATACGCTGTATACCATGTTCGACAAGTTCGGCAAGTTTGCTACCAGCTGGGGTGGATTCACGTTTTGACCAAACATAATCTTTGGAAGTTTTCAAATCCAGTGTGGACAATAGCTTGGCATTTTGATTCTTAAAGTGGACCAACCAAGCGGCAGCATCAAAGGGCAGATCGATGAAACCTTCTTGTTGTTCGGCATTTGTGGTTTCTTTGGGACGTTTCATCCAATTGGCAACCCAAGGGATGTGCACCAAGAGGAAATCATTTTGATGGCCATAGTGGATAATGTGTGCCAAACTAAGGGATTTGCCAACACCATCTTCTCCATAGAGGACATAGCGTACTGTGGGCTTATTGAAATCCGTGTTGCGAATGTAATCAATGATTTCCAAGGCTGGCTGTCTAACCATCAAACAGGCTTCAGTGAATGTTTTCACTTGCTGATCGAATTGTTTTGGGAAACCGCCACCACCGAATATTTGTTTCTTAGTTTCCAAAGGTATGCTGTAGAATTTTGCCTCATGAACCTTATTGTGGGCCTTAGTATTTGCTTCATTGGTGCGGTAATCAGTCGGCACTAAAGATTCGCGTGCCGCTTCACTTGAGGCATTTGCGGCTGCTGTGGCAGTATGCCGTTGCGTCAACTGGGGTAATTTTCGTAACGACTGACGAACAAACATCTTTTGCCTAGAATTTAAGTCATTATTAGTTAAATTTTAATAGATTTTTAGTTAAAATTTTACCTTGAGTCCGCTTAAATAATTACCAGCAGAGAATAGGGTTATGAAAATCGACTTTTAACTAATCGAAAAGACAAAGTCACCTACTATGTTTTATCGCCGACTACATGTAAATCCCATTATATGGAATTTTAATTTTACACCATTTTTAAAAATGATCGAAATACAATTTTAGAACATTGCAGAAGCTATAAGAATTTAATAATTCAATTTCTCTTATGGGCAGGTGGAAAATTTAGCATAACAGAAAAGAATTCAATAAAAAGGCGGTTTTGGCGAAAATTTGACACTTCAAGTAAACTAGACAGTATAATTAATTTTTTTCAATCCTTATAACGACGAAATTATTCTTAGACTGTGAGATCATCGCCGTTTATACAATACATTGAAGTGAGTGTGCTTGTAGAAGACAAGGCTAATTCACAGGTAATACTGGGATATACATAAAATTATTGTGAAGTTTTACAAACTTCGAATGAAATCTATGACTATGTATTTTCCCACAATTTGCGATTGAATATAAGTTTCAATCTGTCAGCCCAAAACAATGATATTTGGGGTAAGTTTTACGAAGTTACCAAATCTCCTTCTACCTGTTTTGTATTGGGAATTTTGGGAGCTCCTTTTAAAAGCTATGTGCCTCGATACCGCCCTTGAACACCGCACGCCAATCGGTATAGGAATGTATTACAATTATATATCATGACACACACTCTAACTATCGTTGTCGGGTAGCATACACTTGACAAACGAACTTTCTTGATAGCTCCTTATAACTGGTGTATCTAAAAGTATTCCACAGGCTGTTATTTAGTTCGGTTTCAAGTAGTCAGAAGGACTTTGATGTTGAAGAAAGTTGGTACATGGTGGACCAGATTATTTCAAGCAAATGGCTGCAATATGGAGGATGGCACCGGTACAAGTGATATAAATAAATTGTGCAATCTTAATGAATAGTGCAGCGTCTTATGGACTTCGAACTTGTCAAAGAATATGGGATTAGTGACTAGGGGTCGGTGATTAGATATGCATGTTTATAGTCAGTCCATGGCATGATATCCATACGCCAATAGTCTTCCTAGATTTCTGGATCAATGCATGGATGACGAGCATGCTGGAGGTGGATTAAACGGATATTCCAATTAATGAATCTGATAATCTGGAAGATATATTGCGAAAAATCTAGTACTATAGGAATTGAAGAAGCTTAATCCATTTGGGCGAAAATTTCACTGCCATTATGAGGAAGAAGAAGATGAAAAAGGTATCTAACTAATGGATGTTAGATGATGGAGTATTGTTGTTGTTGTAGCAGCCCTATTGATTTTACAAAATGGGCTGAGGTGACAGATGTTGGCCGAGAAATACTCGGATCGTAGATTCCTCTGGAAACGTTGGTTAGATCCGAAAAAATAAGGTTGGGGTTTTTTTCAGAGCATACTAGTCTTAGTGGTTTTATGCGACAGTATCTGTGATGATCTCTCATTTTTTTAAGAGGATTCTTGTTAAATGTCCTTGGACTTTTAACAAATTAGATTAAAACTTTCGTTGTTTTTTATCAGTAAAAAATTAATATATTTTATTATCCATACTCGTGTAAAAAACAATAAAAATATAATCGTAAAAATGACCACTTAGAAACAATCAGGATAACCGACAGTTGGTCCAAAACCTAAACCAAAACCACCACCGTAACCATAACCTGCACCGAAACCATATGTTGCTGGAATACTGTGGCCATAAGAAGCTGAACCGCCATAATATCCACCGGCAAAAGATCCAGCACCAGCGTATGAACCATAGGGCGCAACACCATATGAGCCAACACCATAAGATCCAGCACCATATACACCTACACCATAAGATCCAGCACCATATGACCCAACACCGTACGTTGTTCCAATTGCCGGGGTCACAACGGGTGTAGTAACTGCAGTAATAACTGGTGTTGTGACCGTGCTAACAGGAGCTGCAATTGTAGATACGGCCGGTACAGCATATCCACCACCATAACCATATGAACCAACGCCATACGAACCACCAGCATAGGATCTGGCATAACTGCTTCTGGTGCTGGGAACAACTGTCACCTTAACTACTTTGACATTATTTTCGCCATATCCATAGTTGGCGCCATAACCACCACCATAGCCGCCGCCATAACTATAGCCACTGCCATAGCTAGTACCGCCTCCACCACCAACAAGCAGACCCAACTTGCCGAAAGTTGCCTGTGTCGGTTTTGTCAACAAAGCGATTAGGGCAAGAACGCAGACGAAGCACTTCATGTTTATGGATTTTGATTTTAGGAACTTAGAGATGTCGTTTTTAAATTCTTGAACCCCTTTTTTGGTTTGTTATCCACTGAAAATATGTATGTTGTGTAGATTATGTGTGTTGATCGACTGATGACATTGTTGGGTCAAACCAAAGATTTTATAGTGTTTAAAGTAATTGATGGTACACAATGGATAGCATTGTTTCATATGTTGTTGTTGCTGCTGTATGGGAGTTAATAGTTCTGTTGTTGCGGTCGTTGTAGTTTGAACTATGCTCAGCATTGAGTAAAAATATTTGTTTGTCAACTTTTGTTATTCCCTCCGCCCTATAAACCCTTCGCTAAGCATTTAGTGTTATTTTACATCCTAGACTAAGATGTCATTTGCCATTCCGATGGACATATTGAACTATATATTAGAAAAATAATTTTTCGCGAGAGTTGGATTTTTTTAATAAAAATAATCTTTAAGAAACCTGCATATATTTTTAAGATTTATTTGCAATATCGCGAATTTTTAAGGAATATTTTTGTACCCTTCACCACACTGTGGTACAGGTTATTATGTCTTAGTGCATATGTTTGTAACAGGCAAAGGGAAACGAGATAGACACATGGTTCCTTTGAGTATATGCATAGAATCACATTCTGAGTCGATTTATGCATGTCCGTCCAAGTATTTTTGTGAACAAAATATAGGTCACATTTATGATCCGATTTGGATGAAATTTGGCACATGTCACTTATTTGGCCCAAGGGCGAACCCTATTGAAAATCGAAATTTGATTGAGATTTAGATAAAGCTCCCATACATAGTTCAACACTCGGCCTCGTCCGCCTGGATTTTTATACCCTTCACCACACTGTGGTACAGGGTATTATGTCTTTGTGCATATGCTTGTAACAGGCAAAAGGAAACGAGATAGACACATGGTTCTTTTTGAGAATATGCATAGAATCATTTTCTAAGTCGACTTATGCATGTCGTCCGTCTGTCTGTCCATTTTAAATTGTGAACAAAGTACAGGTCGCATTTATGATCCGAATTGGATGAAATTTGACATATTTGGCCCAAGGACGAAATTGGGAAAATCGGTTCAGATTTTATAGCTCCCATATATGTTTTCATCCGATTTAATGTAAATGGTGCACAAAAGCCCTATATATCCTTCGATTTGCATCACTTTCTAAGTCGACTTATGCATGTCCGTCCGTCTGTCTGTCCATGTTAAATTGTGAACAAAGTACAGGTCGCATTTATGATCCGAATTGGATGAAATTTGGCATATTTGGCCAAAGGACGAACCCTATTGAAATTGAGAAAATCGGTTCAGATTTTATAGCTCCCATATATGTTTTCATCCGATATAATGTAAATCGTGCACAAAAGGCCCTATATATCCTTCGATTTGCACGATATATGGCATAGCGTAATGACTTATGTCTACAATGATTCGTGTTAAGTTTCCTGAAAATCGGTTCAGATTTAGATATAGATCCCCTATATATTTTGGTCCGATTTAAGGTAAATGGTGTACCAAAGTCCCTATATATCTTTCGATTTTCACGAAATTTGGCATAGCCTACTGAATTAGGTCTAGAATGATGTGTGCAAAGTTTCATGGAAATCGATGATGTTCATGGAAATGATTGATGTTAGTCGGTTGAATTATAGATAAAGGTCGCATATTTAAGTATGTACAATATTCCCTCGAAGCAACATAGACATGGAATTTTTAGGATACATATGTGGAATATACCCAAAGTGGTGAAGGGCATCATCAGAGATGGTCCGTCAGAAACAGTGACGTAAATGACACGCAAAACCATTACGTTTTTGACAAAAGACTTATTTTCATTAACGATATGGAAATTATATATGCTTCACTGACCACCATATACAATTTTAAATTTTTCTTCTCAAAAAAAGTTAAAAATTTTTATCAGGATGAGTATGCAATATTTAGAAAAATGTAAAAATATTATATATTCTTCAAAATAACTGTTCATGGTGAAAATATTGAAATGAACGACGTTTACTACTTTTATTACATTTTATACAGGTATATGACTTTTTTGACGTTTACAGATTTTTTTATAGTCGAAAACCTAAAAAATCTTCACACGGACCATCCCAGGGGATCATATAGCCGGCCCAGCCCGACTTTACTACTCTCCTCACTGGTTTTTAAGATACATTTGAATTTATAAAGTGTTTATTTGAAGAACATGGATTTGTTGAAGAAAAAAAAAAACCAGTAAGGAAAGTAGTAAAGTCGGACGGGGCCGACTATATGATACCCTTCACCACTATGGATATATTAAACAGGACTATTAACATGAAATTGGATGAAATAAAATATGTGATATTTATCTAAATTTGAATCCTCCTAGATCTATCCATAAACATGTCATTCGTCTGTTACAATGGGACAAAAGTATGTAAATCGATTTCAAACAAATATAAATAGGTCATCCGTTGGGCTATATATGTATTTCTAGAAAACGCAACTACGTAATTATATGCTCAATTTTGTAAGTTGTGCAAAAGTCTGTCAATCTGACTAACATGAGCAGTTTGATGCCCAATTTACTTGAAATCGGGCGAAAATATATATGGAAGCTTTATCCAAATATTAAGCGATTTCAAACAAACTTGTCACAGGTTAGGTTATAATAATTTCAGAACGTTTTGTTCCTATTGGTTCCTTGGTGCGTCAATTACTTAAAATCAATCTATAATAAAAGGGAGCTATATTTAAATCTAGGCCGATTTTCACGAAACAAGGCAGATATCACTCTAGGCTCAATTCAGTACGTTATGCCAAATTTCGTGCAAATCGAAGGATATATAGGGACTTTGGTGCACCATTTACATGAAATCGGACGAAACTATATATGGGAGCTTTATCTAAATCAGGACTGATTTTCTCAAAACTTGGTAGACATCACTCTAGGCTCAATTCAGTACGTTATGCCAAATTTCCTGCAAATCGAAGGATATATAGGGACTTTGGTGCACCATTTACATGAAATCGGATGAAACTATATATGGGAGCTATATCTAAATCTGGACCGATTTTCTCGAAACTTGGCAGACATCATTCTAGACTCAAGTCAGTACGTTATGCCGAATTTCGTGAAAATCGAAAGATATATAGGGACTTTGAGGCACCATTTACATGAAATCGGACGAAACTATATATGGGAGCTATATCTAAATCTTGACCGATTTTCACGAAACTTGGCAGACATCATTCTAGACCTAAATGATTAGGCTGTACCAAATTTCGTGCAAATCGAAAGATATATAGGGACCGTTTACATTAAATCGGTTAAATATATATGGGAGCTATATCTAAATCTGAACCGATTTTTCCCAATTTCAATAGGGTTCGTCCTTGGGCCAAACAAATGAGCTGTGCCAAATTTCATCCAATTCGGATCATAAATGCGACCTGTACTTTGCTCACAAAAATACATGGACAGACAGACGGACGGACGGACATGCATAAATCGATTTAGGAAGTGATTCTATGCATATTCTCAAAAGGAACCAGGTGTCTATCTCGTTTCCTTTTGCCTGTTACAAACATGTGCACAAAGACATAATACCCTGTACCACAGTGTGGTGAAGGGTATAAAAACTCAAAAGAAAATAGAAATAAATATTTTTATATGGAGTGCGTTTTGTAAACAATGTTATTTAGAGGAGTATATTTTTTTAGGAATATGGATTTTTAATTTTTTTTAGGATGGTGAATGTTTTATATCTTTCGGTTTATGATACCTCGATATTCCGCATATAATGGTAACCCCCCTCGATATTCCGCAAAACCCCCTCCCCTACACCAAAGCGCCAGTAATTTAGCATTCCGGGATTTTGGAGAAAGATTTTTTAATATATATACATATATTTTAAAGGGACAAAAACAGATTGGATTTTGATATTTTTAAATAACTCAGAACAAGCGTTGCTTTTTGAAGAAACTTTCTTCAAGGACCAACAACAAGCGTGTTTTTTGAATTTGGAGAGGAATATTAGGCCAACGACTGTATTCCACAGTATGGCAGAAAATATAATTATTC